GGCTCCATCTATTGGTGGGGAGCAACACCTGCTGGAAAACGGGTCCAGCGTCCCTTATACAAAAGCCATTGAGGTCCATCTGAGGACTTCCTTATCTTCTGCCAGCATTGATTGCCCTGAGAACAGGGGATTTAATACGAAAAGTGAGATATATGATATAACCAGCAACACCAAATCCCTTTCCTTAAAGGGCCACTACCTTTCACATACATCGGCTGCGGGGAGGGTCCCTGCTGATGACATCTGCACCCAATCTCCGAAGAATGCGGTCTAACCGTATAGGTTATATTCCCACTTTTCTCAACTCTGTAAAAAGGTAGTGGCGGTGGTTTAACCGAACAGGAAATCGCACCGTGATTGCAACCTTCATCGAATGCGCGCAAACATGAATTCAGAATCTTCAGATGCCTTTTTCGGAAGTTTTTCCCCTTCAGTCCAAAATTACACCAAATCGAGAGTTGAAAGGAGCGAGGTATCCTATGGAGATTTTTTTTTTTTTTTTTTCTTCTGGAAACACGTAGGAAAACGGGTGGGACGATGGGTGGGCCAAGCTGGCCACACAACTCGAGCAATGCTATAGAGGTTGGGAAGCTGGAGGAGTGAGTATTCATCGAAGGATTGTAGACACATAAAGGGGTCTACAACTGGCGACTTGCAGTGAAGGAACACAGACTGCCGGGCATATGTGCCTTGGAAGGGTTGCAAACTCACTAGCGGTCCGTAACTGGTGCCTTTCAGGGGAAGGTACACAGATCACTGGGTGTACATGCCTTTTGAAAAGCCACTGGACTTGAGCGTCAGGCATTCCAAAGACGACACTAGAGCACGTCCTGAAGTACGATAAGGAAGATTTTCTGGTCACAAGGGAGATTGGGACCAGGACAAGGACATCTCTGGGACCAGGGTCCGAACAAATGGGAGAAGAGACATCGAACGTGGAAACAATGTGGAAGAAATGTGGTCCGGGCACACATGCCTTGCTAGTTTGGATCATGGTTGTCAACCGGACGTTCGGATCGGGATCCGGACGGTCCGGTCTGGATGTCCGGATCCTGTGTCCGGTTTGAGGGGGTGCGGTTGGGCCCCATTTCGAGAAAAATTGGAATTTTTTTGGGGGGTCCCCAGGCAATTTTCCAGTGCCTGGTGGAACCCCGAAAATTGTTGCTGCAGTTTTTGGTGCACCGTTGGGCCAACCGGACCGGCCCTGAAGGGCCTGTACTTGCAATCTTGGGTGAGCTTCAGCGGGCCAAGGAGAATCGGTTGTGTGTGTGTGTGTGTGTGTGTGTGTGTGTGTGTGTGTGTGTTGTCATATTCACTATACACTAAAAAAAGCATGACTGTGCTAGACTGTTTCGTCGGACTTTCACCGACTCATCAGGAGGTTGAACCCCGACAGTCTGCCCAGGATTCATTTGACTGATGGATAAGGACTCACAAAATCGCCCAGAGTTTGCGACACCCCTGAGAAAAGTGGTCTGTGTATGTGTGTATGTGTGTGTGTGTGTGTGCGTGTGTGTGTGTGTGTGTGTGTGTGTGTGCACGACACTGTGTGTATATGTGAGTGTGTTCAAAATAAGACGGATGATACAACTACAGCAGTGTGTCTGTTTGTTTGTTTGTTTGTTTGTTTGTTTGTTTGTTTGTTTGTTTGTTTTTTTAATCCGGACATCCGTCCGGTTCCGTATGTCCGGTTGTCTGGATCGGTGTCCTGATCACCGGACGTCCGGATTAATCCAGACATGGGTCCGGGCCCGGTGCCCGGTGTCTCGATGTCCGGGTCCAGGGCAATCATGATTTGAATGCTAGTGTATCCGACAGTCTTATCTTCCAGCTCACCCAATTCTCGACCGTGTTTCTTAGTTTAATTTATTTATTCTTAGCTTTAGTTTTTGTGATATCCTGATAGAAACGGATTCTTGGAAAGCAGAGTACTTCGGCCAGCCGAAGCATTTTGGGAGTGCGTTTTAAGTAAGAGGAGCCTACGACCGAGCAATAGTGAGGTAGTAGGTCTGTTGCAAGGATTATTTGTGCTGAGACAATGTGGTTACTCCGCGATATGTAAACCTCAGCTATCATTGTATTTTGAGTTCACATTCCCTGTTGTGGATTGCGGTTAAGAAGCAACCAAAAACGAAGGGGAAAAGGGTGAAGGCCAAATCTAGCCTCTGCAGGCTGGCAGGAGACCAAAACAGCCTAGTCAGAAACCAATGTGGGCAGCACAGACCCATGAGGTGCACCTGCATACTGCAAATGACCAGGTACTTCACGACCAGGTTGTTTTGATCCCTCACCAACGTAACCAGGCTATGTCAATTTTCAATGAATTTGAGAAACCAAAAAGATGTATTGTTGGTTTATCTCAAGGGCAATTCAATTATCTATCATACTTGGTGTGCAAAGTGTTATGACACTATCATGTGTTTCTTATGAAAACATCCATTGCATATGAACATGTATCAGGCAGTCGGTAGCATTCACATATGAGTTCATCACACCATACAGACAAGAATCTATGAGAGAGAACAGACACACACACACAC